AGACAAAGGCTGAGTTCCCAACATCATGATTATCTTTTTTACCAAAGCTCATCAGATATCAAGCCCATCTTCTGCATGATTCTTCAAGAGGATCAGTGTGCACTCAAGGGCAGGAACTTTGATTTCAAGTCAAGTGTGGTTATTCAGTCACGATCAAGATGTCATACCTTATTTTGGTTTTCATTATAGTAGTTAGATCAAATTATGTCAATACATTGTTCGTATATTTGTGTGCATGATGCGTGACATTTGTGTTTGATTTGATCCGGTTGCGATGATCGCATTTTCTGCGTTAGAAACAATGTTGTTTTTTAGCACGTTTTAAAATTTATTTTTTTCGTTGTGTCTATTTTGGATAAATTAAGATCCGCACAATTTTGATCCCTATTGCGATGATCACATTGAATGTAGCAAACTCTAGGTCGATTTTATTGGTTTATGTGCGATTCCATGTTTGATTATTGTTGTGCTTCGATCTTGTACCTGCGTCCGATGGTTTGGCCTATTTATTCTACTTACGTTGATCGCTAATATGGTAGCAATTTGTTATTTCAATTTGTATTATTTTTCAGTGATTCAATTCCGTTATCTTTAGATCAAATCTAATTTCTCTTGGTGGCTTTGCACATTTTCGCGTATGCGACATTGATTCGCGTATCTGCGTCATGATTTTAATCTGTGCACTTTTCTTTTCAATTTACGTTTTGATTCATTTGATGTGTGATGTTAATATTATGTATGCATCTTATTCCCCTTCAGCCTAACTTTAGGTCAATCTTTGCATGATAACAATTAAGATAGTCCCTTTTAAACGTTAACCTTAGGTCTATCTCTTTGCATGCTAACAGTAGGTAAGAATTCCTTTTCTCATCCTCGACTATATGACCATTTGGCATGACAACATCTAGGACCAAGTCTCCCCTATATCTTGCGTTGCGTTTTTTTCTTCTCTCTTTCAAATCAAGTCAAGATACTTAATAAGTGCGATGTGCATAGTCTGTCACGAGCCTTAAACATATGAGAAAAGATGAGCGGATGCATTTCTAACCTCATCTTAGAGTACTTTGCACGCGAGACGTTTGGATTGTTAGCGTGAAGTATTCGATCCTATGTCATAAACTTTAGTGCAATGCACATCTCAAACAAAATCAAAACACTTCTATAAAATCCTCAAACAGATTCAAACCATTTTATCCTTCTAGATTTCATTCCAAACCTTTTTTCAGAAAGGGCATGTCACCTCCGTTGTACCGCAAACAATTATCGACCCTAACTACTGGAACATGAGTTTAGCATCGTCCATAAAAGACACCAACCAACCATGGTATGTCGAACTACGAGCGCTCCAACCTCTTCATTCTTGTCCGAATGAGGATACGTAGGCACAGATGGCGAAGTCTTGACGAGCACAATCCCCCAACTCACTCGTAATCCTCCGAACTACGGTGACTCTGACTTTCCCATTGCATGAGGGAATACGTAGGCATAAGACGGTAAAGTCCTGTCGAGTCTCCTTTGGTTTTTCTCTTTTTCATTCATGTTAGAAGATATGATTTAGATGAACACACCTTTTGATTAGAACAACAAGAGTGGATCTCGTTGAGTACAATGGACGCGAGGGGGTGCTAACACCTTCCTCTCGTGTAATCGACTCTCGAACCTAGGATTTGGTTGCGAGACCATGTCTTCTCCCTTTTGAGATATCTTCGATCGTTTTCCTTTCCCCCACCGGGATAAATAACATTCGGTGGCAACTCTGTTTTTTCTGCCGGTTGTTTTTGCGCGTTGCGACAGAGTGGCTTAAACAAAGTTGCAAAAAGTAAAATGGAATAAAAAAATCCTTCTTATAGGGGAACTCCTAATCCTTCAAGTTTTGCGAAACTCTGCACGCTAACTACATGTGCCACTGTCATTTGCAATTTCATAAAATAGATCATAATTGATAGCATTAAATAAAAGAGAACATGTTCGCACCATGACTAGTTGACGACTCAGATATAATACCATAATTGAGCGTTGGACACTTGGACGCTGACTTACCAGGTGGGGACCATGAGGATCCCACCTTCCATTTCACTCGCCTATGAAGAAAGCATCGTCTAGGAAAACCACCCTCGGTCGGGGGACAATCAATTGGGCAAGGGATGCACGAAAAGGAAAGATGTTCTAAACACTTTTCCCCTTTAACGGAAAGCCATCGTGCTTGAGGGACTGTGTAGCGTCCTATTTTGGCAAAGTCCTAGATTGAGACGCCCCTCGCCTGACTATTGGGTCGACCGAGCGAGATCCAATATGGTCGCCCTTACGGTTCATCCAATATGGAAGCTCAATGAGAGAAAGTTCTCGTTAACTCAGAAATGTAGCCGGTCAATGATCTCTCTAATAAAAGGGAATGATTAAGACCATGTCCAAGAGGGAAGAGGCCATAAACCTTAATCCTGGAGAGTCCCTATAAATAGATGACCCCTCGAAGGAAAAAAGATCAAGTCATATTCACTTAATACCACCCACTACTACTTGAAGAGAACTTCCCTCCTAATAGTTCTAATATCGATAATCTAACCGTCTACCTGCAACTTAACAACGTTGGCCGCCAGCAGGACCCCTCATTTCATGTGACCCTATCCCTTAACCATAATTAAAAACCACCGTACATGACTATTCGCAACCGTAAACTTGCTTCACCCTATGTAATATATATACAAAAACCTCAAAGTCTCCCTGCCATTGCGGGAAAACACACGCACACCATGTACTTTTTCGAACAGTACATATTCTATTTGAAATTTGAAAGCATTCTATTCAAAACTAGGATATTTTATTATCTATTTTACTCTAACAAATTAATTTTTAAAATTAAAATTTCAAACTTTGAATTATTCAGGAAAACTACAAACTTTCTACTCTTTCATATCTGATCTGACCTGATCAGAAGGGAACTAAGGACTTGCCACACGCCGTTGATCTGCTGCCTGCTCACCGGTGTTGAAGAGGAGGAGGGGTGTACCTGCAAGACACTAAGATGCCAAAGTAAGGAATTGGGCAGAGTGAGAGCAAATACAAAAAAAAGGGTAAGAAGAGAATACCTAACCCTCTTGGAGAAGAGGGTATTTATTGAGAAACCCCAGCGCAGGGCCAACGGTCATTTGAGTTGGGCTGGATGGCCAGACCCAACCCAAGTGACTGCTAGGGCTTACGTGGCGTAGTGAAGACCAGAACGTGGTCTTCGCCCTAGTTCAACTGCTCCGTGAACTCCGGAAAGTGGGCAGTTGGTGGATGACGTGTCCCCGCGGAAGGGGCACGTGGAGAACGTGTGGAGGGCACGTTGTTCTGCCCGATGGGGGCAGTGTCTGGTCGACGGGGAGTCTTGTGCTCGACACAGATGAGGAAGGTTCTGCCCGACGGGACAATGTCTGGTCGACGGGGAGTCTTGTGCTCGACACAGATGAGGAAGGTTCTGCCCGACGGGACATTGTCTGATCGACGGGAAGTCTTGTGCTCGACACAGATGAGGAAGGCTCCTTTGGACCTTCCTCCAAGTGTATGTGGGTTGGGCCTTCCCGGTCAGGACATAGCCCAGGCCAAAATAATATCTTTAATATAACAAAAAATTAAAATAATTTTGTTCAAATGTTGACCAAATAAATTTTGATTTTGTTTATATTTTAGTAAAGAGTATTACCATTTCTTTGTGCAATTATAATTTTTTTGTTTATATTTTAGAGTACTATTATCATTTTCTATTTTACTAATTAGACTATCATTTGTTACATGTAAGACAAAACAATGGTTTGTTTAATTGTTTTGTATGACTGGAATCTCAAATGTGAATTGTGATCAAGTTTTCACATCATAATTACACTCCGTTGAACAAGTGTTCAATTTTTTTGGAAAGAAGTGTCACTATGAAACATGCTTTTTCATTTATTTTTTTGTTAAGCAAGCAAGAGGCCAACACACGTGTATCATTAAAATATTTATAAAAGTAAATTTTATTCATTAATGATACTTTTGTATCATTGAATATATAGAACTAAACTATTCAAAAAATTTAATGTTCATACTCCTCAATTTGAAAAATTATTCTCTACAAATATACGCAAATCCATTTTCTCTAGAAAAACTATTCAAAACTTTTTAACTCCAATAATTGTTGGATGGTTTCACTTTTCAAATGGAATCCACAAATTATTCACTAAAAAAGAAATATAAAAAATAATAAAAAGACGTTAATTTCATTTTCCCCTACAATAACAATCATACTAATCATTAACAATCACAACATAATTTTTTAAGTAAAAATAGATAAATAATATTTTTGATTCACAAATAAATAAAATCATAACTTAAGAACAAACATTTCTAGATATTTAGCACTATTGTATAATTTTTAGAATAAAAAAAACCCTCACTTCAGTGGGTCAAACTAAATAATTTTTCTATGTATAATTTTTTTGAATGATTTTTTTCCATGTATAATATATTCGGTCAAAATAAAACTTTCATATCATAATAACAGCCATAAAAATAAAAATAAAAACAGTTTGAATGAGATAATTAAAAAACTTAGAGTGTGAAAACTGATAAAGCAGTCAAATAATCTTAATATCCTAATGGTAAAAAAAATAAAACTTACTTAAAATAAAACAATATAAACCAATAGGATTCCACATAATAGATATTTTCTTTGACTCATGATTTAGTTTTTGACTTATTCTCATAAATTAACTGAACCAACATTATTATAGTTTTAAAAATAGTGAAAGAAATGAAAGTCAATTAAATTGAAATTTGAATAAGAAAGTAATAAATACAAAATTCAAAAAATAGTATAATGTATAAATGAGTCCTAAGGTGACGTGGCAGTTTGACTCAATATGTCCTAGTCAATAAAAGGACCATGACCAACTTTTTCAAATCTACTACAAAAATTTTGCATACTCAAATTCTAATTAATCTCAAAATCTTAAGTTTTAGTTTCTTTTTTTAATTACATTTTGATGTCAGAGAGTAACGACCTCGCCGCCGCAACCGCCACCGGCAGTGGTTTCCGGAGTCCAACATTTTCACGGCCGGTTTCATGGACTGACCGCTCACCGACAAGCAGAAAACCGCTTCCGACGGCGTCATCGGCGAGTAACAGACCTCGGTCGTTGCTTCCGCCGCTTCGTCCTCTTTCAATCAACAAACGCAGCATTGAGGAGTGGCCGAGTGCTGGATCTGACGATCTCGGAGTTTGGCCGCAAGCAGAGACTCCGAGAGGGAGAGGTTCGGTCACTGGTTCAGAGTTTCAGTTCAAAAGAGACAAGTTAGCTTTCTATGATAAAGAGTGTTCTAGAATCGCTGAACATGTTTATCTTGGAAGCGACACTGTTGCGAAGAATCATGAGCTTTTAAGGAAGAATGGGATTACGCACGTGCTTAACTGTGTTGGGTTTGTATGTCCTGAGTATTTCAAAAGTGATTTTGTTTACAAAACTCTTTGGTTGCAGGATAGTCCCACGGAAGACATCATAAGTATTCTGTACGATGTTTTTGATTATTTTGAGGATGTTAGATTACAAGGTGGTCGTGTTCTTGTTCATTGTTGTCAAGGGGTTTCCAGATCAACCTCTTTGGTCATTGCTTATCTTATGTGGAGAGAAGGACAAAGCTTTGAGGATGCTTTTCATTATGTTAAGAATGCTCGTGGTGTTACAAATCCTAACATGGGTTTTGCTTCTCAACTTTTGCAGTGCCAGAAAAGAGTGGTGAATGCAAATGCTATGCCGTCTAGTCCTAGCTCTGTTCTTAGGATGTATAGAATGGCACCTCATTCGCCGTATGATCCTCTTCATTTGGTACCGAAAATGGTTAACAGGCCTTGTGCGAAAGCACTTGATTCTCGCGGTGCTTTTATCGTTCAAGTTCCTTCTGCGATATACATTTGGATTGGTAAAAATTGTAGTTCGGTAATGGCTTGTAATGCACGAATGGCAGCTTTGCAGGTTGTTCGTTACGAGAAAGCAAATGCTCCGATTCGTAGCATTTATGAGGATGAAGAGCCGATGGAATTTTGGGCTGCTTTTTCTAACTACCAACTATTGTTGGGGAGTTCTGGTAATGACGGAGAGATGGTGATGAAGGATTCTGATGAAAGAATGGAGATCGATGATGATGTTGATATGGGGATTCATCCTAGGAAAGTTGATGATTATGATTTGGATTTTGGGATTTTTAACAAAGCACTTGCAGGTGGAGTTGTTCCACCTTTTTCTGTGTCTAATACTGGATCAGAAACGTTGCTTCCTGCTAGAGAAAATAGCTGGGGAAGACTAAGAAGGAAGCTTGCTCAGAGTATCATGAAAGGGTTGTTTACATCCTCCAAATGCTGTGATATAGCCTCGCCAAAAGACGAAGTAAAGGCGAACGGTGGTTCATCGTTGCCACTAACTCCTAGTCGAAAATCAGATTCTTTTCCTTGTTCTTTAAGTAACAGCCCGAAATTCAGTTCCAAGTCACCCACATTTTCGCCTTCCAACTCCGATTACGCCAGTTCCTTCACACTTTCGCCCACGTCTACACATTGGTCTGAATTGTCATTCATGTCCTCTCGACAACCATCGCCTTCTTCTGGACTCGAATCAACCGAACAACCCTTTTATGTCAATAAAGACGCGCCTTTCTTAGAAAGGTCCTCTTCGCCTCGCAATGAAGCCACTGTCTCTTCATCTTCAGAGACACTTTCGGCTAACCGTGCCGTGGTAAGGACAAAGTCCTACAAAGGGTCTAACTCTAACCGTTCCATTGCAGAGCGGAGAGGGAGTAAACCGCCGCCTCAAATGCTAGTACCTCCTTTCAGGGAATCATCGCGTGCAGTCTGATTAGAACATAGTGGGAAATGGCTAACATGATTGTTATTCATGAAGTAGGAGACTATAAAAAAAAAATTAACTCATGACATGACTCAATTTCTTTCTGTATAGCAATTGTTGAGCCTAGAATATACTTCTGTTTTTTCTTTTTTTTAATAGTAAATCTGCACTTTTGTCTGAACATTGGAGTAAGACTGCAAGGTTTTAGCTTAGGCTGAACAATAATAACTGCATAGACGATTTGATTAATAAAGCCTGTTTGTTTTTATCTTTTTTTTTTTTTTCATTTTTCTTGTTCTGTTCTGGTATGAAAGATGTTTGACTTTCTGCCATAAACTACTATTGATGTAAAATATTAAATTCTCGTGGACAACACACGTTTAACCGTTTAAGTTGATGTTTTGAAATTGAAAATTGTTAGTTTTTACTTGTTCTACTAAAGGCGGATTCTATACAATAGCCAAACCTTTTCTCATTCCGACTACATGAATCAGCCATAATCTATCCGAGACCATTCTTCATTGTGGTTGTGAGAGGACATTGGTGTTTTGCATTTCCTACTAGAATAGCAAATTGAAAACGGAACTACCGGGTCGAAGATGATCAATGATTTATATAGTTTTATAATATCTAAAAAAAAGTAAGATCATTTTTAAGGAGATTACAATTCGATCTTTCATAACTGCAATAGAAAGGAGACTGAAACCACTTGATGTCAGAACTAATTTCCGAACTGGATATTAGTGGTGAAAAAAAAAATTAAGTTCAATATATTTTGTCCTGGAAAATCACATGTTTTCTTGAAACTAAAGACATTAACCAATTTCTTTTTATAAAATACCACGCGTATAAAAGTGAAGTAATCTTCATTGATCCAGATAAAATAAAAAACAAAATTGCATGGACTAAAACCATACTGACCTCATTTTACATGAGCAAACAATACTATTAACCCTTAATTTTAATTCCTATCTCTTTAAATTTTGAGAGTTGCAAAAGCTTGATCAGCAGGTTTTTTTCCTTACAAATCATAGAACACTAACTAAATGGGTCTCAATTCCATTCTATTTTAATACTGAATACAATTTGAAGATCAAAAACTGTACTAACAAGAAGCTTCTTATAGTGAAGGCGACGTGATTTGCCCTGTTTGGTGATTTTTATTCACCTTTCTTCGTTTTCATTTTCAGTGCAATTAAAGCACATAAGTTTGAGCGCATAATCTAAAAAGACGAACCAAACTATTCACCACAAACCTACCTTCAGTAGCTTGACCGTTTTATTTTTTTTCCCATCCTTTTATAGGATGAGAAGATATGACATTACTGAGACTCCAAAAACTGCACATTCAGATCAGATGCCTTCTTTGACCTTTGACCAGGAAATGCATGCATTAGGAAGATTTTGCCTGCATAAAACCACATTAGATCAAGATATTAGATCAAGATTTAATATCCACTAAGTTCGAAAGAAATTCAAGTGATATCATAATATCCAAAGGTGTCGGATCTTAATTAGGTAAAGGAAGCAATAAAAACAATGAAACAAAGGTACTACAATACAACACTTAACCAGCAAAAATTATAGAAATGACATTGACTCGGGAATGTTGGACTAATTATTACAAGCACCTCCAAGAAAATGCTCAAAAACAAATACTGATCATAAATAGCCAGACAACAATGATATATGGTGTAGAAAGATTGTAACGGCACACTACAACACTAGCACTGGAAAAAAATCATATTAAAAAGCTTTCTCCATTTATTCCTTGTCTCAAATTTGTTTACTGATCCATATCTACACATTCCAATAGATATGTAAAGATTTTATGAGAACAAGAAACCATTCATAACATATCAGTAACCAAAACGCTAATGCTAACTATGTGTAGGACATATCCATACTCTTCCTAGCACATAATTCAAATTTGTAGAGTAGCAAATTCAATCATTTGAAGGATTCAATGTGGCTTACATGCAAAGGCCTCCTCTTTGCTAGCATTACTGTTAAGATGAGAGGAACCATTGCGGCAGACAAATGCTTAAGTGTGTGACCACTGACAATATGAAAAGTTGCTGCATAAATCAATCTATCAGCAGTCTCTTGCAGCATAGCTAGAGGATAAAATCCTGCCAAGAATTTATTTGAAATTAAGAGCAATTTAAAGGAGTGTTGAATCAAAACAGGTATTATATCATACCAAAAGTACAAACCTGCAGCCCATAACCAATACGTAGAATGTGTGTACATTGGAGGCAAGAAAATGGCCATAAGAGGTATGGCAATGCATGATACAGTTTGGACTAGAAGATATGGACGGATGTCACCAAAGAACCTGCAATATAAGGTATGGCAATGTGTGATACTCAGTTGTTCATGGTACTGTTATCAAATGGAATTCATTGATCAAAGGGAAATACGAGTTTCAAAAGAACTAGCAGCATCTCAAATGGTGCAACCATTTGAATAATTGAGTTGGAAAATGATTTTCTGATAATGTTCCTTCCTTACTTCATCATGTAAAGAACCCTCCTTAAACTTAAGGAACATGAATGGTAAATTCCAATCAGAAATGGTTCCTTAAGATTCCAAACTTAGAGCATCTCCAACAGACAACAGTCTTTAGATAGTCTTTTTCAAAAAGTATGTTCTTAACGAGTTTCACCATTGGTAGAGATTGACGTGCAGAAACTGGCAAGGATGATTGTTTTGGTGAAGCAACTCGTCTTTAGCAATATATTGAGTAAATTATGGGACCTATCATGAGGTTTTAAGAGTTGCATCATTACAACAAAAAATGAATGAGTTGTTTCAAAGTGGTGCGGCATTGCAGAGCTCACTTAAAGCTACCCATGCTGAGTTGCACCATCAAAAGTTCTCTTAATAAAAACAGGAGTTGTTCTAACTCTCGACATCATCTCAATCTCAACCAATCCATGATGATGGAAATCAACTCATCATAGGGGATCACAAGATCCAAAAGAGCTAACCTAACTTTTGGTCTTATCTTAAACTATCCCAATGCTATGAGTCACAGATACAATATCCCTAAGACAACTAAGTTAGCAGAACTAGCAAACCTTTACCTGTATGAAGAACAATTTCACATATAGAAGAAGGAATTCATCAAACTAAATCAAAGTACGAGTAAGGAAAAGAACCCTTCCAAATAAAAGAGACAAAGAATTAGGCTTGCCTCCAATACACATTGCTTGTTATAGCAGCCATAATAAGAGGAATAATCAAAAGCGTTCCCTTCTTTGCATCAATCCTTTCAATGATGAGGATTGCCACCAGTGAAGTGAAAGCAACAGCCATCTCCATGAACATGCAAAAATCAAAGAATCAAAATTGTTAAACTAAAAATAATAAAAAATACAGTAATGACCAAGGTTTTATAAAACGGTCTGTTTCCGCAAAAACGTCCGCGACAAGACGGTATTGAATTCTATAATGAAAAAAAAATTGTGGTTAATTCACTCCGCAAGGACCACAACCACAATCATTATCACAACACCTGTACCGACCCAAATCGCAAAAGCCATTAAGTGACAGCGACAGCAGCACAGACCGTTATTTAAAACCTTGGTAATAACTGAATTAAACTTCCAAGGAAGAAAGAACTCACAGGCAACCTATCCCACACAAGGCCATTGTCATTTGGCCCTAGATGATAATATGAAGACCCAAAAGCTACCGAAGTCACAGCCAGATAAAAACACGTCCAACCCCATAACTCACCTTGCAAACTTTAGCCATAAATTAAATTTTCAATCATATAATATAACTCATAACACCAATCACATAAGCTTAATAAATAGAGTAATTGATAAGCTTGTGAAATAACCTGAAGTTCAAATAGTTCCTATGATGACAAAGCATAAGGCCAATGAGACCAATAACCATGAAAGGGAAATTTGATATCACATTAAATGCATTGGGAATGCCTGAAGAACAATTAAAAACGAATTTCATTTTAAATTTCACAATAATTTGAGTGGAAAATGATTTAAGTTGGAATGAGTAATTAAATTACCTAAGAATTCGCGTTTGTCAGCGAAATCATGGTAGCTCTGAGGTTGAGGAATGGATGGGGTTAGCTTCATGAATAGATAGAAGGAAGTAACCGCAACTACGCATGCCTGCGCAGTTTGTATTGTCATTGTTTTTGCAGAGTTGATAGGAATGGGAGAAGAGAGATTGAGTCAGTGAGCGAAAGAACTCATGGGAGGAGTGATGTAGCATAAATGCGGTGACGTTGACGGTGATCGGCGTGACGGTGTAGGTCGGCATCACGCATCGGCCAAGAGAGACCGCGCCAGTTTGTCTTTTTCCCCTATCTGGCAGAAAAATTCAAACTCGATTCTATAACTTTTTCGAATGTGCTACATTGTTTAAGGCTTTAAGCTTCAAAAAGTTCCAGAATAATGTAGAATCATTTTATTAATTTTATAGGTAAATTGTGTTCATTCAAATAAACATGTCCTTAAAAATTTAGATACTAGATATATATATTTTAATGTGCATTAATTTTAAATGATAACTATAATATTAAAAAATTGAATAAATTGTTTTGAAAGCTAATTGTAATTTCAAAAGAAATTGTTAAAATTATTAATTATGGTTAGTTTTTATTTATAGGTTTTAATTAAATAGTTTTCGTGAAGTATGTGATAAATATATCCGAACAGTTTTTCATTTATGTTGAAATCTTAAAAAAATTTGTACTTTAAATATGTATGTTTCACGTCTAATTATTTATTTATTTAAAATAAATAATAAGTAATTTATTATATTATAATAAGTTATAAAAAATTTGGTGAAAAAGTTAATCATTCCAAGAGAAAATCAATGAGACTCTTAATACAACATTTTCGTTTTCGTTAGTCATAAAAGAAATTAATAGATATACTTGTTAAAAATTTTACACGACCAACTAATTATTATTATATATTCTCCTATTTTATACTCTAATTTTTAATTTATTGATATTAGATGGTAGATTGATGAATTTCTATTAGATGATAATATAAAATTATTTTATATTATTAGTGCATTTCAATTAAACTCTTATATAAAATTCGTATGAACATGAAAATTAATATATGAGAGTTTAAACAAAATACAAGAATTTTATATTAATTTCTACGTTCATACGAATTTTATATGAGAAGTCCCACATTGATGTTGTATCACGTGGTCCAGCATCTCACATTGATGGTTTTTTTTTTGCAAGCCATGCAGTAGGATATGCAAAGTTTGGTTATTCTAGGAGAGACATGTACAATGAACTGTTCAAACAAAAGGGTTTGAAGCAGTCAGATGTCGATGACACACTTGAATTCCTTAAAAGAATGTCATATATGGATGACATGATGTTTTGGAGACATACAGCCAAAGAAGATGGAATGCTTGAACATATGTTTTGGTGTGCTGGTATAGGACACATGGACTACTCTACTTTTAAGGATGTCTTGGCTTTTGATACCACATATAGGAAAATAAGATATAATACTCCGCTAGTGATATTTTCAAGAGTCAATCGTCACAATTAGAGCATAATATTTGCAAGTGCAACTATTGGTGATGAAACTGAAGAAACTTATGTTTGATTTTGGAGACGTTTGTGGAAGCTATAAGCGAAAAGTATCATCTATCTATTATAATTGGCAGTGATTTGGCCATGAGAAACGCGATCAAAAAGGTTTTTCCAAATGCTTAGCATCGTTTATGTGTCTGGCATTTGTCACGGAACGCGACTAGTAACATTAAGAATTCGAAATTTGTATCCAAGTTTAAACAATGCATGCTGGGAGGTTTTGATATTGATGAATATACTAATATGAATATATACGTATACAAGTATAAAAATTAGTGGGGTGTTAGATGCCCAATTGTGCTTTTATCAAATGTGGGCATCTTTCACTCCTTTTTTGTCAAGAAAGTGTTCAAAATCACTCTTGCTTTGATTGGTTTGCAACTTTGTGTGAAAGTATCTTGGTACCTTTAATTTGTGTATTATTGTGCAGGAATTTGACATGAAATAGTGAGAATTAAGACACAAGAAAGATGGCAAGGAAACCAAGACAGCAAGCAAACATCAGCGAGTTCGCTAGGCGAACTGGCCAGCGAAGCTCCCTCCAAAACTTCACAAAGTTCGCTAGGAGAACTATGTAGCGAAGGCCAAGAATCCAAAACAGCAAGGAAAGGGCCATAAACTCGCTAGGCGAGGGAGGCAGCGAAGCACTCGCTAAGCGAATAAGCAGCGAGTAACCAACGAACACTCCCAGACTTAAAACAGCAAGGAAAGGGTCATAAACTCGCTAGGCGAAGTTCACAGTGAAGGCTTTGCTGGGCGAAGGATTACTCGCCTAGCGAACTTTTGGAAACTTGTATAGGGATATTTCACAGGGCACAAACACTTCAGGTGGCACTTTTGGGGTTCGCCTAGCGAACATGATAGCTTAAATGACCCTTCTATAAGTAGCATGGGCTACTTTTTGTAAAAATATCTAATTTCGTGTACTTGCATTTGAGAGGATTTTTCTGACCTAAAAAACCCATTCTTTCATTTCTCGTCATCCCTTAGCAATATTTCACCAAAAGAAGGTGGATTCTCATCCATTCTCGATTATTCGACTCGGATGTTAATCAACCTTCTTCCGAAACTTGTTGCTCAAGCTATCATGGAAATGAGTGGCTAAATCCCTCTCTTGTCAAGGTTAGGAGTAGTTAGTTCAGATTTTATGTATTCTTCTTAATCTCTTGTATGTGAACAATGTTATGATTAATGTAGATGAAGTTATTTGCTACTATTTATACATTTATGGTTTGGATTGCTTTAGATGTGAAGTTTTCAAGTCTTGATCTAATATCTTCATCTATCAACTATACAAATGCTAGAGATATATTTGAAAGTTGATATCCGCTTTGTATCGATCTTAATGATTATTGTTTCGATTGTTATTTAGAGAGATCATTTAACGGTCGAAACAATAATCTTCACGAAATCGCTTTAGAGATGAACGTTTTTGCGAGGATACGCGATTATGTTGGTTAGAACTTCGTTCAGATATTTTATTGGTTGGATACGTTTAGGAGGGAAACCTTTGTTTTATTTGCTTGTTTTACTATTTTGTTTTGTTTTGTTTTCAGTTATAATAATAAAAATTAAAAAAAAATTGCATCTTTTTGAAAGTTCTGGGCTATAGTCTAATTTGAGATTAGTTACGGAGACTTGGGAAAAATTCACAAGATCGGTATCGTCTTAACACCGTAAGTTTCCTGCATATGGAAATTGATTCGAATTCTTATTATGTTTAGCCTTAAATTTTCATTCTTTGACAGCTCTTGAGTAGTTTATTTCAGCAGTCAGCACCATCTCATACACACTCTACGCAGGGAAGCCGATGAATATAAGTGAGTGATCAAATTTTAGCTTGAAAAAAGGAAGAAAAAAAGAAAAAAAGAAAAAAAGAAAGAAAAGAAAAAGAAAAGTTGAAAAAAATTACTCGTTAGTTGGTTCAGCGGTTTCTGGTGCTGAGCTTGGTAGGGCGGATTACGGTCCAATCCCCCGCAACTACAACTGAGTAAGCAAAGGGTTATGCCACGTAAGTACCAGAACCCCAAACAAAAAGGATCAGAGTCACTAACCGGTCGCCTTGCTATGAGTGTGTGGAGATAACAGACTTAATGTGATTGCGCCTGAATGAAAAAGAGCAAAAACGGAGGATGAGTAAGTTAGGCTTTCAGCATAATAACATGTTTTGAGTTGATTTTTGTATCCAGGAGGCTTATGTCCGCACAATTGTGGATTAGTGTTTCTACGATATCCTTAGTGTGTAAGATTAGTACCTATCGATGCAAACTTAACCGAAGAAGACTTTTAGCCTGAAATGAGTAACTGTTGATGTGTTTGTGCTTTCTTTGTTTTGTTTTATTTTAATTTTGCTCGGAGTACAAAAGTTCAAGTATGGGGAAATTTGATCAGTGCATCTTTATGCATATTCTCCTATATTTTTACTTAGTCATTTCTTTACTTTATTTTGATTATTCTTATGTTTTATTATGTTTTTATATTTTATTTTATTTTTGGTTTAATTTGATTTTCGCACTTTATTTTTCAGCTTTAGCAGTCTGCATGGAAACGATCATAACCGGAGTTCCGGGAATTCGTTTGAGGCGTTCTAAAAATCTCCGGAAAGCTAAGAGAGAGAGCTACGACTTTCGTGTTGGATTCGAAGTCAGATTCGGAGCACATTTTCTCAGAATATTCGTTGAAGTTATAGCATTAGGAATTTGTTTTAGTTTTGAGTCATGTTTTGAGTCTGGGTTATGTTTTCGACCCAATTGGGTTATGAATTTCATTTAAAAAGAACCTCGTTTTACTGTTCATATTATATACTATTCACGGAAAAAATGGAGAGAGAGGTTTGAGAAGTACTCATGAAAAACTAATACCTCCGGGCAAATCCTGTTGTGTACGGTTTCAACACTTTGAGGTTATTATAATATCAATTTAAATCTGATTCCTTTCAATCATTTTCTATGAAGTCATTTGCTTAATTTGATTGCAATTGTTTGCTTAATTCAATTGTTTTTTATAGGATATAATTGATTAAATTCGATTGTATGCATGTTCCTAAATTTAATTGCGTGTTATCGTTTGCTTAATTCGTTAATTCGTCATATTCTTAACTGTTTGCTTAATTCGGTAAACAGGAACATAATTCATTTGATGTTGGTAAGCGCTTGTCTGATTAATATCATAATCGAACAGGATTGGAGCCGTTTAGGGATTGATGTTATAATAGCCGATGGTAAGTCGGAACCTGAATCAGTAGGATTAGCCGTTTTACCTTATTTTAGTAATCACTTTTTTTATAGTCACTTATTTTAAGTATTTTTTCTCTTAATCAAAATTCAAACCCCCATAAACTGTTACTTTATTGGTCAATCACTACAAGAATCCTTGTGATATGACTCGAGTCATTGTCGCTAAACTGCCGTTTTCCAAACTACTCGTTTTGATCCGCGCGCGACAGCGGATCAAATTGACGCCGTTGCCGGGGATTCTTGTTGATTTAGCCAATAGTCTAGTTTTAGGTTTTGTTTGTTTTAATTTTATGTATTTTTGTGTATTTTCTTGCGTTTTTGCGTCCAG